GATATGTAATACCAATCTGACATCTCAGTGTTTATTTCTCAGAAAATGACTAGCATATTTGAAACAGTTGAGTAACTGATCTAGTGGGTGATATTTAGTGGTAGGAGTAATGCTCTTTTTTATGCAGTTATAATCAACGCCTGTTCAGCATCTGGATGCGCAGTGTCCCAAGCGACGTACGTAACCAAGTGCTCTTGTCATCGCAATAATGTTTTATAAATTATTTTTGTAATTGATATTTTTTATTTTAAGTTATTTAAAAGATGTTACGATTAGTTTATAAATAATTTGCCTTGTAGTAGGCCTAACTATTTACAGTATTCAATTTCGACTCAAACAGTGATTCTTATATTATTTCTGTTATCTTTTCCTGTCTTGCCATCTTAATTTTTTTTTTCCATATTTCACATGTTTTGCCCTACTCAGTACGGTACGGTACGTTCCCAAACACTTGCGAAAAAATATTCACAAGTGTTTGGGAACCAAACCCACTACCTCCAGATAGCTAACCTGGTGCCATAACCACTAGACCAGTCAAGTACCGTATTAATGCAATTTTCGTTTACATGTAAACTAAGTACGGTACCGAATGCAGTAGGCTTAGGAGTTACAATATAGTGTAATCCTCAGTAATAATTATAGTTAGGTCCACTGTAGGCATATGTGATAATTATGCAACAGAGTCCCATGGCCGGACTGCACATATCTTTCTGGACGTCACTGAATGTATTTCATAAAGTATTCAGTTCAATATGAAATACTTAGAATTTTCACTGAAACTACAGATTCTGGTACAGTAATTAAACCTAAATTTGGGTAATGTAAAATGAAGTTTAGACTCGGACCTGTATCTCTGAACCACTGGTTTAACTTGACTACTACTACTACTACTACTACTACTACTACTACTAAAGGATCTATATGAGAATAGCGGGAAAGCCAATAATGCCGATTCAAATTTAATAGGTTGATTGCATATTTCATAAAACACGATTACAAGCACATTGCTTGAAACTCTTGATAGAGGAATTTATAATTTTAAATGCATGCTGCTATATCAGATTTTAGACCCCCGTCGCGTTCCATACTCAATACGTGCTACGCGTATATCGTGTCTATTTGCTTTTCTGTGTTGCATATTGTTAACCATTTTTACGTGATACTTATCATGAACTCGTTGCTTTCATGGAATCATATACGTGTAGATGCCACTACATGAGATGTTTTGATGTCAGTGAATGTACTTAGCATAGTTTGGCCCTACAGTATTAACATTTCAACCTCCGTTTCGCCCTCGGGTCGGGTTAACGAAAGTCACACACATACACGCTAACACCATCCTGGCGTGTTTTTCGAAAGTCCTCTATCACTATAGTATCTATAAATGTACACGTTTACTTCACCAGTCAAAGGTAATTATATCATGGAAGTGATTTAACTTTGAAGCATGCGCGTTCCATCTTAACTGATATGTTCCACGACATGGAATATTAACTTTCGTATAATTGCGCCCATAACGGATTCATTTATATCTTTATAGAAGGAAATAGTTAATCTTTATATAGTATACAGGTAGTCCATCTTGATTATTCTTTTTTGTGATAACCACACCAATTGGGTTGTAGGTATTAAGTACAGTAATTAAGTAACACCAGGCTAGAAAAACGTATCGCACAGGTCCAGCTGCGCTCCGCATTGGCCAATTGCACTTCAAATAACTATAGATTGATCTTAATAGTTCCCAGTGGACTCCCGTCGCGCACGGCGTTTTAAGTAACGTCGCAAAACCGACAAATAGTTTACTCACGCAGCGAAGATCACTCAGCTTAATTTTGGTAAAACGGTCCCCCGGCAGAGCGTGCGCCCGTGTGTCATCGCGTTCACAGGATTACCGAATCGATTAAGTTGGCCAGGGTGAACAGTATTTAACATGAAGGACAAGATGGTATCGTGACGAACGTCAGATAAAGAGGGGCTTTACACCTGCATTAGTTAGTTGTGATTTTTGTTTTAATCTGCGGTAATACCGCGGGTGTGTTTATTTTGCTAACTGACTACTTCCACCAACGGTGTCTATTCTTTCACGAAGCATTACCACAGGATGCCGACGTAACCTCAATTGAAAGGGTGTACGATTTTGACAGCTTCGACAGTTTTGTCTCATCACGTAAAAATACGCAATTCATATAATTTAGTAGTGTTTTAACATACGCATTAAAGTGCCTTTCACAATGGTGTGCCGATCTCAACACCTGTCTCTTATACACATCTAGATGTGTATAAGAGACAGGCTTAAGCCCCTGCTGGCGCCGCCACTGGTCGAATATTACAGCCAGGCTCCGGAGGAAAAACAATTTCATATGTTGTAGAACTGATTTTTCTAGGACACAAAAGCATATTTGACGAAAAACTCGGAAACGGTTAATGAGATACAGATTTTTTATATATTTAAAAACTGGGGGAAAGTGGACGTAACCACCTCTTTTCCACCTTCCCCTCAGTTTTTAAATATTCAAAAATCTGTATCTCATTAACCGGCATAAACTTCTAGATCTGTATACAAGTGTTATTTGAGCTCGTGTTAAAGAAAACCGGTATTTTTGCAGGCACATGTCGTGAAGTCAAAATACACCGAAATTGACAAATGCAGAGGTCCAACCCCTCACTAACCCAGGCACCATTAGACCGGATAGCGATTATTTTGCACCTATTTTAACAGCGATGATTGATAATCATGAACGAAAAATATTGGATAGTCGAAGAAATACTCACACTTTGAACGTGCTGTTGTTCCTTAAAGAAAACCGCCGATACGTTATCCACTCAGTGGGCGGCAAAGATCAAAGGATACAGAGAAGGTAAATGGCGCAGAACCATCACGTGGCCATATTTCTTAAACAAACGATGTACGGTTTATTGCCAACTGCCACCTCGGAATGCCTATTGATGCAGAAATTTAAACACGACAATTTCGGAGATACTCTCGGAGCCAACCACCTCCTTCGGACGTGCGACCGTCGATATATATATATTCATATAATTGTACTGTATATACATGATATACACTATAGGCCGAAACAAATAGAAACAGTGCTCCAATGTAGGCCAAGGCCTAATTGCTCTAATGAACATAATAACATGCCTATAATGTACTGTAAAGTTACGGTACTTTTTCAGTTGTTTAAAAAAGTGCTGGCGGGAGTAAACCCTGATACCTTCTGTCAAAATCAAATGACTGAATTTTGCGTTAACAGTACACGTACCGGTCCCATTTTCCCGCACTTAATTCTCGGACCTTAAACGGCTGTACTGGGGAGTACACCGCCACTGGTGGCGCCAGTTTGAAAGGGAGCATACGTCCCAAATTGCTGGCCCAAAAAATTCCCAGTTTCTTTAGAAAAACTTATCCCCTAAGCCCTCACTGGCCCCCATAAGAAATTGCTAGACAGGCTCCAGTGGGGGTGGGTGGGGTCCCCCTCCCCCGTCGGGGAAAAAATTATATGTATTTTCTAAATACAGCAGACTCCTATTAGTAGACTCTAAAATCGATTAAATAAGCCTTTGGAACTTCTAAATTGTCAAAATTTTCGAGAGCTTCGCCCACTGGAACACGTTCGAAACATTTTAAGGAACACTCGGCCACGCCCACTTTGCTCTCGTGATGGAAATCTGCCTCTCGTCTGTTCTTAAATCGCCACTTCTCCCAGCATAATATGAAGCCCGCGGTTTGGCCTACTTAATAATAAACCACTATCCAACCACAGTTCGTTTATCTGGTTGTACTTTTTGTTTATAGCATAATTACGTGAATTTATAGTGTTATAGATTTAACACTTTTTTCTGTTCCTAAAAAATGCAGACTGTTGCTATGTTTAGCTGCATAATATTTCACTGTTAGCTGGAAAACTTCATAGATCAAATAGTAGTGTACGGTACTGCGGTTATATGACAACTTGCGCAAAATCCTCAATAAATCGTTTCCAATTCTGGTTCAGTAGTTATTTTCTCCCAGGCCTTTGTTTATGACTTGTGAAGGAAACAAATCAACAGTGAACTCTTTTCTTGTATGGAATTCCATTACACGTTGAGTCGCCTTAAATTAATTCTAAATTAAATATTTTTACAATTACATCAACCTAGAATCCTTGGCCCGTTGTGCCTATAAACATTAAACTTAGAATCGGCATCTAGGCCTGTATCCCACTATATATAGTTTGATGAAGGCACAGGTCATGTTTCTTATTGCGTTAATATGATTATTATCTTTTACTAAGTATTAATTCTAGGCACAGGTCATGTTTCCTATTGCGTTAATATGATTATTATCTTTTACTAAGTATTAAGTCTAAGTCTTTACTGATCTAACAGGTATTTTTTCAGTCACATCGTTTATAATTTTCCTATAAACTACATTTTATACAAAAAAAATGAAAAAAGTGAGTTTTTAATTGGTAAACATCAAGTCCTTTCTTTACATGGCAGAAGGTTCTCTCTTTTATATAGGATATGCCTGGTCGTCTATTGGTAATCGCACTAATCACTGAGAAACAAACACCAATGCCCTAGTAGTCGTTTCATGCTAAATTATTATGACGTAATCATCGTTCTTTCTGTTTAAAGAACATGCCGCGTCTTCACGCCCCTGTAAGCGCGCTAATAAATTCGTCGGCAAATGTGTTGCATTTCATAGATCGTGCACCAAGTAATAATTAGAACGTATACTTCACTGAATGTGTTGTAGCACGTCAACTGCCGTTATTAATCGAATCTCTTTGGCCGAGGAATTCTGCGCGCTTCTCTACGAGCGAGTAGGTCGCACGTGGTAGTGTGGTAGGCCTATTCATCATCGGCGATTCGGCAGTCGAATTCAGACTTAAATGATATGTGAATATCATCACTCATGAAATAGATTATATATCTCATTGTTTCACTTAATGATGTTTGTTCAAATATAATTCTGTTACCTAAATTAACCCTCACAATGTTTTTGCTCTTTTCAGGTTTTGTGCAACAATGACGATTCTTGTCAAAAAAGAGAGTTCTGTCACGGAGGAGAAGGACACAAGTCTTGCTTGCCATGTAGGAAACCAGGCCGCCGTTGTCATAGGAATGCCATGTGTTGCCGTGGTAACGAATGCGTAGATGGTGTTTGTCGCTCAAAGAAAACATCAGAATCAGCTAGAAACGAGGATCTCGAAGACGAAAGTAGTATTGCTCAAGAAACAAAGGCTAACATGTATAGACGTAAGTATTATAGTAGTAGACTAAAGCCCTGTGCAGTATGGGCGGCCATCAATTGTATTTAACATAAAAATATGTGACATGCCTAAATATTACACCATGACCATAATATAGGCGCATCAAAGCAGTATAACAAATACCACCTTCAGTTTTATTGTGTACAGATGTGTGGAAAATAATGTGTTGCTCAATGATAAAGTATATACATATTTTGATTATAGTTCAAGAAAATGATCGCTGTGAGAATTCTATTGAATGCGACGATGGTCTGTGCTGTGCCCGACACTATTGGTCCAAAATCTGCAAACCAATCCTCGTAGAGGGCGATGTTTGCACAAAAAAGCGGAATCCAATTGATCTGTTCCAACGCTGTGACTGCGGACCCGGATTGGCCTGCAAACGTAACGTAAATCCTCAGTTGCGTCTCCATTACTGTCAGGCTGTGAAAGTGAAAGAATCCGAAGAGCCCTCAAAGTCAAAAGTTTCAGATAACAGCAATCAAGATTCTCACATAAGAAAGATTGTCGGCAGTAGTAAAGAAATCTACGATATTGATCATGGACTGTCGGTGACCACAGAGAAGGGCAAAGTGGGCCTATCAACCGATATTTTGCAAGACTTAATAATCCAATAGGTAGATAGATTCTAGTCTATCCTAATTTGTGTAACTTAAATGATTAAAATAAATCCCAATTGTAATTATCTTAAATTTGTATATAATAACTTAGTGCTGGTATGTACATAAAAGAGAATTTTTTATGGAACAAAAATCATGGTTTTGAGATTTTGTATTTAATTGTATAAGAATAAAACTAATGATATGTAAATAATCATGTGTGTTATATGACTTCTGACCCCCTTGTTTTGGGATATATGGCATTTATGTTGAAAATTACATAAAGTTATCGTATGATACAAAAACAAAAAGTAAAACTAAATATATATTATATATATATTCTAACTTTATTATTTTTATTGTTTTGTAGTTATCATCAGAGTGGTAACCCAGAGTAAATTATTAGATTGTTAACAACAAATGTATTGTTTCTTTTTTTATTTATATTATTGTTTACGTTCATTTGGTTAAAATTTGATATTACATTGTTTATGTTATGTTCTTTAACGTACGTTAATCAAGTTCATTTAGCATAAAGCTGTAGGGCTTTTTTCACTTTTTCTGAATACATTATTAGGGCCTAACTATGTTCGTTTTTTTATTTAGGTTGCTCTTTCGTTCTTACATTTTGTTAGAAAATATAAAGCATTATTTATTGTTCATTTTGATCGGAAATATTAAACGTTATTTATATTTATATTATTAATTTTCTTAGTTACCGTACTTTATAAACCTAGGAATTCAGAACAATTCTTGGTAACGAAAAACTCGGATAGGCCAGGGAAATTAAATCGTGATATGTTATGGAAATATTATTCATGATGGAGGGATTTTGTGTAATAGTGCAACTTTTAACGATGCCTGGGGTACGATGATACACGCCTTTCAATTAGAATTACACTCGTGTGTTATTTAGATCCATGCCCAGGTTCGTAATCCGATAATGAAAGATTTTAGTTTAACTCACTGAAGCCATTACCGGCATAAGCCCTGTTAGATGGTAGCGTAATAGGCCTACAAAGGATATAAATGAAAGTTCTATGCCCATTCATCTGGGTAATCGATAAATTTAATGGTTTAAAAGAGAAAAAAAAACAACCTGTGCAAAAAAAGAATATAGGCATACAAGTTTGTTGTTTTACGTTGCCTCACTTGTTTTTTATAAGCAGACGGTAAAATGTTGCTGTATATATAAGTTAATAAATATGAAACTTTGAAAGAATTCTCTCTTATTCGTCTTGTTTGTATGATATTGATTTCTTTGTAAATTCCAATTATTGTAATTTATAACTACATAATTATAAAATCACTAGCGTTGGAAATCATCAGTCAAAAATACGCAGTATGCTAGGAGCGTGTGGCGCAGTGCGTAAGGTGTTGGATATAAAAAATCTTGAGATCGGGAGAGTTCGAGGCCGACGCTCGTCACACTGATTGTGCTCATGGGTAAGAGACTTTACTTACGCTTGCTTCTCTTCATCCTGCAGTATAAATGTTGCGGGGGGGTTATGCTGTTAACCTACTCGTTGGTGACCCTGCTACGACCGTTCCAGTCAATTAATAACAGCAACTTGATTTAATGCGATTATTCGCTATTATACGCTACTATACGCAAGAAGAAGACAAGCAGTTTTCCAAAATACGTCAAGTTGAGGGCGCTAGGCCTTTCCAATACATAAGTGAATACAGTAAAGTATTTCTAAAATGTAATCCATTAAGAAAAACGTCACGATTTTTAAAATTCAGTTGGGTTCCAGTGACGTAGGTAGGGGCAGTGAAGTCAGTGCAAAACACCTGGTGCCCAGGGCTGTTAGGGGCCTTCATAAAGATCATAAATAAGTCTAAAAATAATAATTAAAAATAACTTCACATTTGAAGAGCCCGGCAATTAATCTTGTTACGCCGCTGTTGGGTTTCCATACAAACTTGGTAACTGTAGGCCTATTTCATACAGTACAAACCATCTAATCCAACTTAATTTAACGTCATTTCCAATGGTTTAACATTTTTCCCCATAAATGTAAAATTATGAACATTGACTTCCGCAAAGCAGTGATGGCCCCAGGATTTGCCCGACAGGGGGTGCTAAGGCCATTTCATAAGGTCCAGTATGCGAGCGAAGCGAGCATCCATACTGGGGGCCAGTGGGGCCGCCAAGGGCCCCCAGCGGGGGTCCTGGAGGCGAAGCCCCCTGGAAGCTACGGATATTTGACGAATTTTGGTGAATTTTTATAAGTTATTTGACATCAAGCTACCGTAATATGACATCATGTATGTTTTTTAATGTTCCAAAACAGAAAATTTTTGGATAAAACAACGAGAAACAAAGAGTATGCAATGTAACCAAATAACTTATTTTCAAATCCGTTTTACATTTTATATTATTTTTAAAAAAACCCACCGTACTACATTACAATACTATCCTCCCATACTGGCGAAATCCAGGTTTTTCATAATCCATGTGATTGTGAATCATAAATTGGAGTATTTTGCGGGGACCTGTAAATCGGGCGAAAATTACATTTGATCAGGAGAAATGGAGATTTGTTTAATTATTGGGTGACACCTGACAGGATCGGATGAGTTAGTAGGCCTCTTAGTTTTTACAGCCAGGCCTTGCTGCTGAAGGCTGAGCTGGTAATTCTAGGCAAATAATTGCGTCGCATTTTATTGTGTTTCATTTCTATAAGTGCTTCCCAATTAGGTTAAAACTTGGATTGAATTGGATTGGATTTATTCGGTGTAAACACCAAGGATAGCCCACGAAAGTCTAGAAGAAGACTTATTTCCAGTGGGGGCCTTCTGGTGATGATTGATCAGTACACCGGGAGACAATCCCCTACTCTTTTCCGAAGAGTGTACTGCGTACTTTAACGTGCACATGGGCCATAATGCACACGGGACCAACGGCTTAAACGTCTCATCCGAAAGACGGTGCGCTATTGTAACTTGTATTTCAGCTGAAACACAAGGAGGGGCAGCGATGAGAATTGAACCGGGACCCATAAATCTTCACGGTCAGCGCACACACAGTGGCTACCACCAGATTAGACGACTGAGCTAAGCTGCTCTCTCTCAATGTAATTACTTACATTGCTCCCTCCCCCACCACATTCCCCTGTGTCAAAGTTTTTTTTATGACTAAAATAATGGCCTACGAAGTTGGCCTAAATTAAAACTTCCATTTAATAGCCCTAGTCCTAGACCTCTGAAAATATTAGTTTTTCACTCGTACCCGCATGAAGGACCATATTTCTATGGTATGGTTAAGATATGTGTTGACTTAAAGCATCTGAAATCCTTGGTAGCCCACCACCCCAACCCCTAACGAAAAATCCCGGATTCCACTGTCATTAGGTCAATTACGGTATACTAATAACTATTCATAGCAGCAAAAAACATATTAACTATCATAACGATGTATATTGTGTTGATCTTCATTTTTTGTTTGAATTCACCTACACGTTTTGCTTTGTGGGACATTATTTACGAGTGTTTAGCGGTACAACATGGATAAGTAATAAATAATAACAATAATAATTAATTTTAAAGTAATAATTGCGCCACGAAAACAGATTGGCTACATAATGTAGCACGTTGGTCCGCGTGCTACATTATGTACCGATAGCCAATCACAATATCTGAATTCTTTAATCCTTTATTAAATTCTTTAATATTTTAAAAATAATATATCCAAATTTAAGTCTGATGGTTTGGTCTGACTCTCAATCTGTGAAAGTCCATGGGCTCCCTCTAAATGATATTAGACGAACATTTCGGACACACCTGTGTCCTTCTTCAGGTGTGCTAGTCGTACGAATGAAATATACAGCACAGATTAATACTGGAAAGTAAGATGAAATCTTTATACTGTATGTTTAGTACCTAAAGTGCAAGTGTGAATACATTAAACACTGTAATATAGGCCTAATTATTACAAAATTCTTGAATTCGTGAACTAGGCCTTCTCATCTCTTTTGCTCATTTTCCGGAAAAAAAATCAGAGTAGGTGTTATATTTCGAGATTGCTATCATTACATCTTATCCCTCAGACTTCAGGAATGGTAAAACCAATTATTCACCACGCTCAGCGCAGGTCTGCGCAAGGTAACTGAGAGGGCGCTATAGCAAAATATATACTTGTCATAGCATAGAGCTGCTTTTCTATTTGAGTACTCTCTCAAAAGTGTTACTATTCACTTTACTACTGTGTTTGTTTTGTCGAGATTTAAGTACAGTACAACCAAATTGAGCTTCGCTCCTCTTCTTAACCCACCAATTGTATTGCATCCAGGGTGATTATACTGAGACTGACTCAGTGGATTACAAGGCTTTCTCAGAAAACAAAATATTAAATAACTGATCACAAACTCGGCCCCGTGACGATTAAGACGTCTGGCCTTATGAGGCGCCAAGTGGAAATTTATTATTTAACACAATTATTTATATATAATTCATTATTTAACATATAATTCAATAGATCACCCATTATTTATATAAAATTCTTTTATGTCTAAAAGATTATATGTAAATAATTGCGTTAACGTTTTCATTATTTATATATAATTAGTTTACTTATTTCATTATATATAAATAATGAAAGGGTAACCAAATATTATTTATCATCACAGTAAATTCAGAGCCATTTGCTGAGCAAACCAAAAGTAAGCTCAAGTAGTTGAAAAACTACGGAGCCCCTAATGGGACATGGTTAGAAAAATTATTAAACTATTTCGAGGGAACGAAATAATATTTCGAGGGATCGAAATCATTTCGAAGGAACGAAATAATATTTCGTTCGAACGAAATATTATTTCGTTCCCTCGAAATATTATTTCGTTCCCTCGAAATATTATTTCGTTACCTCGAAATACTATTTCGTTCCCTCGAAATACTATTTCGTTACCTCGAAATAATATTTCGTGTATGGTACGCCCACAGTGCCTTCAGCGTCGGCTGTTCGTCATGGGTGGCGCCAGGATTTACCCGACGGTGGGGGGAGGGGGGCGAGGTCCCCGGATGGGGGTTCCGATGCCTCCGACGAGGTGTCAGATTTTCCCGACGAAAGCAAACTGGGTGTGGTCGAGCTACGATTAAAAGGTTTAGATAGTTTTTAAATTTTGACGATTTAAGGGTTTTAAAAGGTTTAGATAGTTTTTAAATTTTGACGATTTAAGGGTTTTAATCGATATTAGCACGTTTTGCTTTGTGGGACATTATTTACGAGTGTTTAGCGGTACAACATGGATAAGTAATAATTAATAACAATAATAATTAATTTTAAAGTAATAATTGCGCCACGAAAACAGATTGGCTACATAATGTAGCACGTTGGTCCGCGTGCTACATTATGTACCGATAGCCAATCACAATATCTGAATTCTTTAATCCTTTATTATTATTATTTACGTTTTCATTATTTATATATAATTAGTTTACTTATTTCATTATATATAAATAATGAAAGGGTAACCAAATATTATTTATATATAATAAGGTTACTGGTTTCATTATATATAAATAAGGAAAGGGTAACACATCATTTTATATAAATAATGAAAAGTAACTTACAATTATTTATATATAATGAGTTCACTAATTCCATTATATATAAATAATGAAAAGGTATCATTATATATAAATAATGAAAAGTAACTTACGATTATTTATATATAAGTTCACTAATTTCATTATATATAAATAATGAATTGACTTCAAACTAATTATATATAAATAACTGCTTTTAATTTCATTATATATAAATAATAGCTGTCGCAAAACCATTATATGTATAATGCTTGAACTTGAAACTCATTATATGTATATAATGCACACGTGTTATCTTGTCAAGGTCATTATATCTAAATAATGGTTTCTTACTGCCAAATATATATAAATAACTGTTGAGGTCGAGTGCCATTATATATAAATAATGACATCGTAGGAAGCCATGGTTTATAAATAATTCGTTATGCAAATTACGAAGTAATAAATATTCACCAGTGCTCATTAAATTACAATTAGGGCCTATTGTGTATGGTCTACTGGTCGCAGACCATCACCTATCGAAAATGGCACAGCCAGGGATACAGCAGATTATTGAATCTAGTGGTGGCACCAGAGCCCCCCCCCCCGGGGAATAAACAAATAAAAAAAAATTACATGTAATGTACGTTTAGCCACCATATTGTTTTCACTGAACTATTTGTGTTAACTTTTCAT